GCTAGAACCTGACATACCTTATCATCATGCGAGGCTATAGTAAAGTTAATTTCATCTTTTGAATCAGATTTAACTTGACCAGATTGCTCTTTCAGTTCCGATTTATCTTCTCTGGAGCCCTTCTTTGTAGTGTCATCATCTACAGACTTGGCCAATAGATAGTCGTTCAGGTCTACACTCCACGAATTACTTACTTCTTTTGATTTTTTTAAGCCTTTTCTTTCCCCACTAATTTGTTCATTACTTTGTGTTACTTTAGGAAGTGGTGAATCATGTTTCTTATTTCTTGGGTAGGTAACAAGATTTTGGAAAAAGTCCTCACACTCGCTCAATTTTTTGCAAAGTTCAGTTTCGCAACATTGGGCTAGTACATTAGCAACTTCCTTTAAAAGTTCCAACAGACGTGCGTATGCATATTTATATCTGACCTCTGAGTTATCAAGTTTTGGCTGTTCCTTTTTTACCACGCTTGTGGTTAAAATGCTTAGTTTGTTATGGTGACACTGTCTGGTCGGTCTGCACAAAATCAGATTTAAGCCAGCACTTTGACACACAACTTTCATCAAACATTTCCATATTATTTTTTTAATATAGCTGCAAGAATGTGCCTGCAGGCCAGCTGGTACTGCGCGTTAAATGTGCATATACATGTCCTCATATTATTAGTAACTTCATAAAGCTTACTGCCAACAAAAACGGTGCATTTGTCACCAGAGACAACACAGTCTCCTGGATATTTCATAAACAGCTCATATTCTTTACATACCAATTTTCTAGCATATTCGGTGCATTTTGCTGACAGTTCAATGCAAAACTTATCTGTCTTACTGATGTCAATGCAAATTCTCATTTCTTTATATTGCGTATGGCTGAGTGTGAGAGCATCATGGGTCACATATCTTATCAGAGCTTTCACTGCTTCCACTAAGTGCATGTCACGTGTTAGATAATTTTTTAATTTTCGATTATGGCTTTCCATTCGATTGTTAGTATTATTTCTTAAACTACATGCTTACTGAAGACACCGAGCCATCCGTGCAAATGTGAAGGCGTCCGTTGTGCTTCTCTTGCAGGAAGACAGGGGCGGTGGTTATTCCCATGAGGCACGTCACAATTAAATTCACGACATCACATTTGACGTCATCGACAGCTGCAGAACTCGCCGCCATACGTGCAGCTCTGGAGTTTATAGAGAAAGAACCTTCGGGAATTTGGTCTATCTTCTCGGACTCAAAAGAATCTCTTCAATGTCTTATGTCACCCTTTTGCCATGGACCTAATGAACAGTTAGTAGCTGAAATAAGGCTTCTTCATTCCCAAGCAATTGAAAAACAGCACAGCATAGTGTATCAGTGGATACCAGGTCATTGCGGTATATATGGCAATGACCGCGCAGATGAGGCTGCTAGATCTACACACGATGGTACCAAATACACAGCCATCCCGTTCTCAAGAACCGACGCAGCTACAAGACTTCGTTCGCTTGCACGTGACCTCACACTGGTACAGTGGAACTCAACAGACTTCACAAACACGTGCCTGCATAACTTGAATCCCGATCTGCAGCTTCGTCTTCCCCCAAGGATATCTCGAGCTGAGGAGACTCTTCTATGTCGCCTGTGGCTTGGAGTGGCCTTCACGAACGCATACTCTTATCTCATTGGGATGGCCAGCTCTCCTACATGCACTTACTGCAGTTGCGAAGAAACCATCGTGCACCTTCTGTGTGAGTGCACTCATTTCAACGCGCAAAGACAAGAACTCACTGCAGCTCTGGATAGACTAGACGATCGGCCTTTGTTGGAACAAAGGATTCTTGGTCATTGGCCGAACCCATCCTCAGCCCAGAAGGCTTTGAAAGCTTTACTGCGCTTTTTGCAGACAACTGGCCTCAGAGACAGACTTTAGTGTCTTACACTCTTTGATGTTGCCTTTCCTGTGTCCTAATTTTTTTTGTAATTTCTCTCTCTCTTCGCAACATTTCTTTTTAACATCTTTCATTCGCCTCACCCCTTTCCCCAGCACAGGGTAGCCAGCCGGTCTAAGAACTGGCTAACCTCCCTGTCATTTCGCTTAAACTTTCTTCCTCTTCCTCTAAACTACATGCATTTTCACGATAAGCATGAACCCACATGATCTTGCAGCTGCGCCAATTTTTATAAAAGTACTCAAGGAGGGCTTTGTCATCTTCAAGTGCTTCTTCCAAGTCCTGCAAGTGTTATTGATATATATCTACAGTATGTGCAAAAAACAGTTTTGTAATTATATCTTTAATATACTTCTTATCTAGACTGTTTGACTTATGCTGCATCACTTTAGAGTGTAAGTACTTTAATACGTGCCACGAACACAACAAGATTCTACATTTGGGCAGAAACTGCTTAATCACATTCACTTTATTTAAATCTTTGTCCATTACCACAATTTTGCACTTCTCCTCTACGACAGGATTCAAACATAGGAATGTCTCTAGGAAAGACTTTAATATTTCTGATGTCTCCCACTGAACAAATGCATAACATACAGGCCTTCCATGGCTTGTTCTATCTTCACACAGAATCGAATGCAAGATATACCCTTCTTTATTAACTTTATACATACCATCAAAGAACAACACTTCAGGCAATTTTTCTAGTAACTGGGCCATATGCTCTGATTGAAGCAATACGTACAAAAGACCATTTTTTGTATTCTTTTCAATATGAACCTTCCACCCAGAGTTTTCAGAAAGCAATTCGTTGATTTTTTCTAACAGAAGGGCTCCATGATGAGCATTGTCCTGAATTTTTCGAACTGTTCTATGCTTCAAGTTTGTGATATCAAGAGAAGTAACGTGTTTTCCTGTTTTCCTCAGAATGGCATCCTTTAGGTCTTTAGGTTTCACATTACAAGAAATCAAGTCCTGAAGTTGCTCTTTTTCAGAAGCACTTAATGCACGATTATTATTGTACCATACAAAAATCTCGGGACCTACTTTATGGTTGTGCACATCCGCTAAATTTACAACTTCATAATAGGGCTGTAAAGAAACCCGCAGCGCAAGCTTAAGTTCAACGTTGGAACCTGTACCGTTGAAGCGTTGATTGGGCCGAATATTTTGTCCCCTTGGATTCGGATACCCTGCGTGGCTAGAGACAAACTTAACTCGAACATACGGAAAGTCTGCTTTGTTTAAATCTTTCTTAATAAACAATTGGTTTTTATCTGATCTTTCAATACGCATCGGATGGAACCCTTCACTTTTCCATCCTTCAAAGCTAGCTTTAAACTCCTTATAAGTGCTGAATTTGCTCCCTACAGTAAGATTTCCTCCACCTGTGCAAATATGTCTGTGTGACAATTTTGCTGATGTTGCTTTCTGCTCCTGTTCAGGGTCTTCACCACGAGGTGAGGAAGTACTGGTGTCAGCCGCACTGTGGTCCATGCGCAGAACCACACCTTCTGATTGGGGGCTCATCATGGATGTTACACCGCAGGCGTCGGGTGGCCCACAGGCAAAAGCTGTGCTCTGCTCAAAAGCAGCAGAGCCCAGTGGCACGGCAGTACGCCCAGTCTTCTTTACTTTGCGGTGGCCACTTGCACCACTGACAAGAGCAGGAGAAACTGGTTTTTTGTTACTACGCCCTTTCTTATTTTCGACTCTAACCTCCTTTTCTACACGGAGATCACCACGAGGTGTGGAAGCGCTGGTGTCAGCCGCACTGCTGCCCTTGCGCAGAACCACACCTTCTGACTGGGGGCTCACCGTGGATGTTACACCGCAGGCGTCGGGTGGCCCACAGTCAGAAGGTGGGCTCTGCTCAAAAGCAGCAGAGCACAGTGGCACGGCAGTACGCCCAGTCTTCTTCACTTTGTGGTGCATCCACATACCACCGACAAGTGCAGGAGCACGCACAGGGCGCCGTTTTACTTGAGTGAAAACAGTCACAGCTGGAGCCCTGGTGCTTGCCACTGCAGTTATTGGCAGTGAAGGGTACCCATGAGCAGTGTCTGTTTCTGCGACCTTAGGTGTCACTGACATCGCACTGTGACATCGTATGGTAGCAGAATCAAACTTCCGTGCAACGTCCCACCACATTTCCTTGCATGGAGATGCAGGGGCTGCAAGAAGCATAGGGTCTGTGGAAAGAGCTGGGAAATTTGTTACATTATTCCAATACTGTGCCAGCCTTTCTGACTGATCACCGCGCTGGAATCGAAGCTTGTTGTAGTCCTTTTCTCTCTGGTGCTGCTGCTGTAATGCTCCATTGTGGCTTGCCTCAAGGTCCTTGCTTGCTTGCTTCTTCACTTTGTGGTGCATCCACATACCATCGACAAGTGCAGGAGCACGCACAGGGTGCCGTTTTACTTGAGTGAAAACAGTCACAGCTGGAGCCCTGGTGCTTGCCACTGCAGTTATTGGCAGTGAAGGGTACCCATGAGCAGTGTCTGTTTCTGCGACCTTAGGTGTCACTGACATCGCACTGTGACATCGTATGGTAGCAGAATCAGACTTCCGTGCAAGGTCCCACCACATTTCCTTGCATGGAGATGCAGGGGCTTCAAAAAGCATAGGGTCTGTGGAAAGAGCTGGGAAATTTTTACATTATTCCAATACTGTGCCAGCCTTTCTGACTGATCACCGCGCTGGAATCGAAGCTTCTTGTAGTCCTTTTTTCTCTGGTGCTGCTGCTGTAATGCTCCATTGTGGCTTGTCTCAAGGTCCTTGCTTGCTTGCTTCTTCACTTTGTGGTGCATCCACATACCACCGACAAGTGCAGGAGCACGCACAGGGCGCCATTTTACTTGAGTGAAAACAGTCACAGCTGGAGCCCTGGTGCTTGCCACTGCAGTTATTGGCAGTGAAGGGTACCCATGAGCAGTGTCTGTTTCTGCGACCTTAGGTGTCACTGACATCGCACTGTGACATCGTATGGTAACAGAATCAGACTTCCGTGCAAGGTCCCACCACATTTCCTTGCATGGAGATGCAGGGGCTGCAAGAAGCATAGGGTCTGTGGAAAGAGCTGGGAAATTTGTTACATTATTTCAATACTGTGCCAGCCCTTCTGACTGATCACCGCGCTGGAATCGAAGCTTCTTGTAGTCCTTTTCTCTCTGGTGCTGCTGCTGTAATGCTCCATTGTGGCTTGCCTCAAGGTCCTTGCTTGCTTGCTTGATGGCTGCACGTAGCAGGCACCCCAGCAGCTGGAACACAGAGGAGCACATTTACAGTTGAACCCCTCCATAACGGAAGCCCTGAAGAATGAAGCTCTCATAGCAATGAAGAAATATAACGTCCATGATGAACATTCATTGAATACTACAAGGTGTTTGCTTTCTCTCAACAGCAAAGAGATTTTAAAAGCACTCGCATAATACATGTAAGTGATATGCGACTTTTTTTAGACTCCTAAACTAGGCGAGAAAGTAGATGTAAAAAAATTGCAGCGCCACTCATTTCACAAGTCGGGCACTTGGGTATTTGCCAAAAGGCATTGGTGCAACCATTGTTGTTTAGGTTGTTGAACAATGATGATAGCAAAATCACCTCTTTTTCTTCAAGAGAATACTTCTTGCTAATGCTTCTGTTGGCAACTACGTCAGCACATGACATATAAAGTGCCATAATTTCCATAGATGTTCTGTAGACTGCCTAACTTCTTGCTCATGTGGTTCTGTCCAAACGCATGCCAAGACCTCACACAATTCGCTTACGTGCAGGGTTGTTTGGCATTTCAGCTTCAATGGAGCGACACCAGGCGCTGTTGATCTACATGACGTTGTGTGAGCTTATGGCGACGTGATTGCATGCGAGGAGTTCTGCAATGTTGCCAACATCAGAAGTACATGCCACAGTGGAAAAGTAAGAAATGTATGGACTGGTCTCCAGATTTGGTAGGCAAATCAATAAGGCTGCGCTCTTTCTGCAATAGATGGCACAATACGTAGTGAGCTGTGCAATAGGGTCTCGCCGGCTTGCCATATGTGTATATAAGGAAAGCGCAGCTGAACATTGCGGGCAATAGAATGGGTTTGTTGACATTTTTTTCCCTTTGTCGAAGTTCTTGTGATCATCTGCTCACGCTGTGAAAGTAGAAACGAATGTAGGCTGTCTGCACAGGCACGGCTGTCATGAACAGATACCTATGCGCGCACACCAGTCAAATGAAAATGCCTGGAAAATCTACATACACATTTGTATAATATGCACCTGCAAGATGTATGCCCCACTAGAGGGATGGTTTTGTTCTGTAGCACAATGAAGCTATAGGGAAAGTCAAAGCTAGTTTTTATTTTGCTTTTGTTTTTGAATTGAATATTGGAATTTAGTTTCCGTATTCTAGACGTGTACTCTGTCAACACTGAAACTGTTATTTACGTACGTCGACAACTGCAGGCTGCGGTACCCACACTTACTTTTGTAAGGGCCTGTAATGCAGTGGTTTGTGTCGTTTTGAGTTGTAAAATAGTGCCTGTACATCCTCGCAGGACCAGTGGTTTAGCTGGACCCACATTACTCACATACTCAAGCAATTTCTGTTACAAATATATTTTCTAACTTTGCCAATGGTGTCACTGCTTATGTGAGCATGCATAAGGCACCAGAGCAGAGTATGTCACATCACATAAGCTGCACAGACTGCAGTGAAACAAAACTATGGTTAACTAAGACAGTAAAATACATGCAATACCTAGAGAGGAGCGGTAGCGACACTCTATTAAAAACCTCAGCAGAATCAATTGCTTCACTGCACTTAGCAGCTTGGCATTTAATGCAATGTTTTGTCACATTGGTCAGGTATGCCAGGTAGGGAACTTTACTGACACAGTGTCTCTTGACAATGTCCCCTCTCGGCCCCGCCGCGGTGGTCTAGTGGCTAAGGTACTCGGCTGCTGACCCGCAGGTCGCGGGTTCGATTCCCGGCTGCGGCGGCTGCATTTCCGATGGAGGCGGAAATGTTGTAGGCCAGTGTGCTCAGATTTGGGCGCACGTTAAAGAACCCCAGGTAGTCGAAATTTCCGGAGCCCTCCACTACGGCGTCTCTCATAATCATATGGTGGTTTTAGGACGTTAAACCCCACAAATCAATCAATCAACAATGTCCCCTCTTTTGCGGCATGTTCCTCAGGACGTGTTCATTGTAGTGTGTTGTTCATTCTTTGCACATGCATTTGAGCTCGAAATGTTTTTTGTGGGCAAAATCAGTTGAGTGAAGGACCTGATTGTTCATGAGGACTGCTCGCCTCCACTTGTCCATAAGGTCACCATCTTTTGTTGCACAAAACAAGGAAAACTTTTTTCTCACATCTTATACCCCAAGGTGTACTGCAGCAGGGTACAAAACGTTTTTTCCCAATTATGAACTGCAGACTGTGACACATTCTTACGAAACCATGCGTTAAATAACTGGGCAGCAACTGATGTTACTTATGATTGAAACCCAACAATTACAGTGAGAGCGTGTCACACTCTCTTCACAGTGCTCCTGCGCAGTCTTCTTTACATTACCTTTATGAATGTGGTGCCGCCTGCCTTGTTCTTGCATAGCAGATGCCCTTTCATGGAGAGAGCGCTTGCTTGCCAGGCAGTGCTATGAGAGCTTGCACACCAGCTGTCAAACTCACCATAAAATTATCTAAACGAGTGTCACGTTGGCCAATGAGAGCTCTGTGAAGTGCCGCATAAGGTATACAACATGTGCAGAGAGCACGCACAATGACTGTCAGTAGAAACAACAGCTCGCATTGATGCCGCCGACATACGACGGCGATGTTGCCGACGGCCAATATTAGTGTTTGGGGGAAGGCATCTAAGGTTTTCACATTAATAATGCACGAGACGGCATACTTGATAGTTTTTTTGGTGCACATAATTTATAGCTGATACATTCGAGCGACAGTAGTTATTTCGTTAAGTGGTTAAATGCACCAGCCATATTTTACAGGAACGCCTTGTGGAGGTGTCTGACATACAAACTATACCACTGAAATAACTAGCTAGCAAATTAATGAACTAGCTTGCCACCATAAGCGATTCCTTCACAAGAGCTCCAGTCGTGGATATAAATTTTCACATTTAATAGCACGAAGACTGCCACGCGAAATTGCACGTCTACGTCAGGTTCCTAAACGATGAACGCACTCAACGACTCAGTAGGTCATATCTACAGTGTTAAAGCAGGCTTTAAATTAAGCAAGCTTTGACATAACCTATACTCATAGTGATAGACTTGCAACTTACATTGCAAGGTCGAGTGGAAAATGTCTGCCTGAAATTCTGATTTAATTGATTCATATGTGAGATGTCCCAAAACCACCGTATGATTATGAGAAACGCCGTAGTGGAGGGCTCCGGAAATTTCTACCACCTGGGGTTCTTTAACGTACAACCAAATCCGAGCACACGGGCCTACAACATTTCCGCCTTTGTCGGAAATGCAGCCGCTGCAGCCAGGATTCAATCCCACGACCTGCGGGTCAGCAGCCAAGTACCTTAGCCTCTAGACCACCGCGGCGGGGCTGCCTGAAATTCTTAATCCTGATTTTATGCAACCGTGTCTTTTGTCGTGACTCGTTACACACTTAAAGGGCCACTCACCAGGCCCCATACTGAATTTTAGTTAGACAGTGGAAGTAGTTGGGTGTCCGATGAGGAACATTTTCCCACAAAAATTTTTCGAATCTGTTCATCACGAGCAGAGAAAACAGGTTTTTCGAAGCGGTGCGAAACGAAGATGAGAGGAGGCGATCTCGAAACCCTTGCCGCTCCTCCGCGTAGCCTTCGTAAGCCAAATCTCTTCCCCACCCTCTCCAGCATCCGACCATGAGGTGATGTGCCCAAACAAGTCCAACCCCCGAGCACGAGAGCAGCGTTGCTTTGTTGACCAGCGTTATTTTGTGGTCTTCTGCCTGTTTCTGCGGGATGGTTTGGAAACGCTGGCATAGTCGCGGTAGAGTAGATGAGCACAATGAGTGCATGAATGCGTAGGAGCATTCCACGGTGGTCGTCTGCTCAATGTGCTGACCGCGGGGATACGAACGCATGCGAAACACTGGCACATTAGCCCCGCATCTCGTAGCATTTCACGGAAAAAAAATGAAAAAAAAATGCGCACAATTTTTAATTGTGTCTCATTATTTATTTCAACATTTATTATTCCCTTAAAGCAACAAATACATAAACTACGCATGTTGCGTTAAATAATTTTTGCCATGTCACGTGGTGTACTGTTGACAACGTCGGAGCAGACTCGTCTACGTAAAGAACCAACGTCACTGCATTTCTGTGTAAGTAGGGCCATTCCTACGCCTACGTCATGCCCTCATTCTCTACGAGTACGCCGGCAGAGGGGAGGGGGTACAGCTTTCATCTTGAAATTTGACCCATTTCCGTGGCGCGTAGCGTTGCAAAGTTTGGCAGTCGTGATCACGAACGCCTCGTCTACGCATTGCACTTGTCAGCTCAAAGTTGTCAAACCTGGTTTCATGATGCCCTTTAACAGATAGCATCATGAAATGCTTTCGGTCGACACGACTTATTCTGGCATCAGAAGGGCAACAGGCACTGATGGCATCCAACAGCAAGGTGATTCTAGGGTGAAAGGTATTTCACAGCTCAACGCGCACTAAAGGACAAGTGCATATCCAAAAAACAGATGCATTGTACACCATCGAATCCGTGCTTCTAAAGCAAAGTTGGTAATCGAAAGTGGCTGTAAACAAACGAGGGCTGCGAGCGGTCCCACGTGACAGCATCTAGCCACAACCAACTCGGCGCCAGCCTCGGAGAGGTTCGAGAAGAGAGATAGAGAGGAAGTGTGCTTTTAACCACATATATTGTGACTTAAAGAAGTTGCAGGGGTGTTTGCACACCTCTCCTACTGGGCGCAAAGAAAAATGAGGATGACAACAAGAGTGAGGAAAGCTGCAAAGCAAGTTTGGATGAAGTTGTTGATGCTTTTAACAACGCTCGCACATTCTTTAGCACCCGCGACTATGACGAAGCTATGCAAAGCGTACTAAGCGGTCAGCCATCAAACTCCTTCAAAGCACTGTCATTATATGAAACAGAACAAAGTCGCCAACAACCATAAATAAATTTTAATTGTGCTGTGTAACTGCAAGATTTACATATTTTTCAGATCTCGCTGCTAAGAAATTGTGACAACAAACAGAGATTAAGGGGCTCGACTGTGCAGCAGTTGCAAGTTGAAAAAAAAAAAGCTCAGAAATTTCTGTGCACAGACGTTTGTGGTGTCTCACATATCATGTTACTAAATTCATGTTTCTATAGAGCTTGTGTGGGTTCCAGCTCACTCACAGGTAGCAGGCAACATCATCACTGACTACCATGCCTGAGAAATGTTAACTTGGGCCGAGCAAGAACCGCAAGAGCTACTGCACCCGGGTACCGGCCTTCGTGACATTACCCGGTTACACCAAGAGGAATGGTGCAAACTGCCAGAACCGCAGCCCAAACTGGCCAGGCAACAGCAGACGATCCCAAATTGAGCGCAGGCAGGATCTCTTAAGCATCGAGTCTTATTTACTAATCACGTTTCCTTCCTCACATCAAACTCTTTATTTTACTTCATTTCGGCATGGGTTTTGCAAGAACTACTCATGCGAAACAGCATTAATATTGTTTAACCATAACATTTCCTCTACTTTTGACAAAGGCCATATTATTCACTGTATTTTTTAAATCTTGCTAAAGCTTCTGACAAGGTGTCTCATCGCTTACTACTTCTCCAACTTAGTATTCTTAACATTGACCCTAGCATCTTGAGCTGGATAACCATACTCAATTTGCAACTTGATGCTGCATCCCTTGTTATGATGTAAAGTCGGGCGTTCCTCAAGGCTCTGTCCTCGGCTCATTGTTATTTCTAATTTACATTAATGACTTACCTACAGTAATTAATAGTCCCAATAAACTATTTGCTGATGACTGTGTTTATGAAATCACTAATCAGCATGATAACTCTATTCTTCAATCTGACTTGGATAACATATAAAGCAACTGCTCGCAACAGCTTATGTTCTTAGATCCCACTATAAATGCTAAATCATGCATTTATTGCATCGCCCTGACTCGACAAAATCTTTCGGCTATGCCATCAATAACATCCACCTCGAGTAGGTAACATGATATAAATACCTCAGAACTCAGATTGCCAATAGCCCTTCTTAGCATGTACACATTGAATACATCACTAACAATGCTAACAGATTTCTCTGCAGTGGCGTACCAATTCTTTCGTGAGTGGGCGGGCAAGCCTACCTCACTCGTCACTCAAGATATATATATATATATATATATGAACCTACAAGGAAAATCATCAAAGCGGAAATGTTGGCAAAATTACACTATGTTGTAACATATCCTCATAACAATTTCATTCTCCTATAGAAACACAATTGAGTAAATGCTGTTGTGATAAATAATTACACCTTACTTGTTCGTTTCCCCAGCGTGCAGCCAAGAGTGACCACTGTCGAAAGTGGGGTGGCTCAGCCCCCAAGTTTTCTTTATGGGGGGAAGGGGGGGGGGGGGGGGCTCGCGTTTTCCTTGCTCCTCCACCGGCTGGTACGCCTACGTCTCTCTGGTACATTTGCAGAAGTTTTTCCAACGCTTCTTGTCATTTAAAATTACAACTCTACAAAACATTAATTTGACCCTAGCTGGAATATGCTGCTCATCTTTGTGATCTGGTCAAAAGGTATTAACAACTATAATTGAATCAGTTCAGAAACATTCAGCGCGTTTCACACACTCAAATCATCCCCACTCAGCTAGCATTTCACTGACGAAATCAGACCTTGGGCTAACAAATTTGAAACTTCGAAGAAAAATGTCCCGTGTATTTTTTTTTTTTTTTCAAAAGATCAGCTACCATAAATGTTAACTTAAACAGGAAATCATCTCGGCATCTTCATACGTATCATTGCATCTTCATTCCTTTTTCATTCAAGGTTTCCATTCCTTTTTACTGCACTAATTTTTTTCAGACTCCTTTTTAGCAAAAACGAGCACTGAGTGAAACCGTTTTCCGCCCTCTATCGCCTGTATGGAGTATGTCTCATCATTCAAGGCTGCACTAACAGATTACGTCTTCTGCCTATTGTAACTTAGTTTGTTTGAGCATGTATTTTCATTAATATGTTGTATTGCTATGTTGTGTTTGTTGCCTTTGTATAACCCTACCCCCTCTGTAAGGCCTTTATGCGCCCTGAGGTTAAATAAATGAAATGAACCGCATGTGCCCTGCGAAACATGCCACGCTCAGTCCGTTTTGCAAAAAAGAAAAAGGCTTCCTGCCACATATCTTGGCAGATTGCCCAGAACTCAAGACCCCCCTTCCTTCCCTTTTCCCTAACACCCTCAATACCCAACCTCTTTGGCGTGGGAGACCTTGATATCCAGCCCCCACCTACCAGCTCGGCTTACACTGACGAACAAGGGCCAGGATCTGCTGAGAACATATGGATCCTGTAACCAGTGAACTACCTCGTCTGGTGCTCGTCTGGTGTGCACCACCAACATAGTTGGGCTCAATGAAAGTTCATTCATCTCTCTGATTCTCATCATCTAATTTTGGGGCTATGTGGACTCCCCAGTTTTAGTTTCTTGTAATGTGTCACACAGCATCCCACAACAGAAATTTCTTGTAACCCATTCTTACACGCTTTCTCCAAATAAATAGCAGTCCCGTCCCTGTTCTTGGGCTAGCTTGACTTTCTCTTCAGCACATCGGCATTAATACACCTTTTGCCTCCACCAGATAGTATATCTAGTGCCGAAACAATCAAAGAATTGCAATCAGGTCATTCTACGCCAAACGTCCCGGCTATTTTGGCGACCTTCTCAAATGTATTCGAAAAAAACAATCGTGCTGATTCACTGGGTTGAAAACAGTGAACTGCGAAATTTTTCTGAGAGAAAAAAATTTTTGGTCATGTGGCTGCCTTCTGAAATTCCTGAAAATGTCGTTTGGGTGTTGTTTGTGGAAAAGTTTATTTTAAAAGTACCGCTCCGTCTTTCTATAGCAACATTGGTCTACATGTTAAGCAAAGGTGCTTGTGTAAGGTGTTTGAAGCTCAGTAATACTAGTGCAATTTTACTGGCGGCGCATATGTCTACAATAATTTAGCCGAAATGTCTTATGTTTGCAGTTTTTTATTGCAATACTGCAGTTTGTATGAATACCTGAGTAGTGAATACTTTCTCGACAAAAGGTATATTTTTAGGAAAAAATGTTTTCAGACCTCTCAAGCAGCCAAACTTTATGAGAAAAAATCACAAATTTTTCAAGTCGTCCTTTTTGTCCATGTTGAAACTCAATTTGCACCTTCTGGTGCTATAATAAAGTCACCTTTATACCTAAATCAAAAGCAAATAATTAGTTATTTTTATATGCAAGTTTCATCATTACATTTTTTCTTTCAGGGAAGAAAGTAATTTTTGAACTTTCACATTGGAGCCCATCTTCCAATCTGGTCATACAACAGCTGCCGCTTTGAAATTACACATTGCCGTCAATAGGAAAGTTTCAAAATTATTTTCTTCCTTAAAACAAAAAAAAAATTATTGATGAGCTTTGCCATTGCTGATTTGCTTTTCATTTAAATATTAAGGTGACTTTCAATTTGACCACCGCAGGGTGCAAATTGCATCTGAATATAGACAAAAATGACAATTTTGTGAAATTTGTTTTTTTCCCTTTAAATTTCATCTGCATGAGGGATCGAACAATGCTTTTTCCTCAAAATACACCTTTTGTGTGGAGTAAGTATTCACTACACAGGTATTCATACAAACTGCAGTATTGCAATAAAAAAACTACAAACATAAGACATTTCAGCTAAATTCTTGGAGGCGTATGCGTTAGTAAAAATGCACTAATATTACTGAGCTTCAAACACCATGGACAAGCACCTTTACTTAACATGTAGACCAAATTTGGTATAGAAAGAAGGTGCGGTACTTTAAAAAAATTTTCACAAACAACACCCAAATGACATTTTCAGGTAACTCAGAAGGCAGCCACATGACCAAAAATTTTTTTCTCTCAGAAAAAGTCTACCAGCTCACTGTTTTAACCGCAGTGCTCCAGCAAGATTTTTTTTTCCAAATACATTTAAGATGGTCGCCAAATTGGCTGGGACGTTCGATGTATAATGATCCAATTACGTAGATGACTTGGAGAATTCTCACTTTATATATCAGACGTTACTGCCCTGTTTTGGAAACAAGTAAGGCATATCAGACATCTAATTTTCAGTATTTCAATTAAGAGAACAAAATGGTCTAAAATGGGTTTGATTAAATATAATCTGTGTTTATAATAATAACAGTAACAGTAGTATTAATCTTTCCTGTGATGCACAGTAGGGAATTCACATTTACACCAGATGCTTGTCAACTCATGGCAGAGATAATGCACATAAGGAAGGTAACCTCACTGGCCTCCTCAGTAGTTCTTGTCAGCTTGCTTATTCTGCACTTCTGAGTAAAGGAGCTGCTGTTGCATAAGGGCTGTGCACCAGTGAGCTTACCCGTTGGCGCCTCTCAAATATACTGTGGTAATGAACACACAGTAAAACCCGCTTATATCATTGGTTGCCGAAGTCGCTAATAGTCCCACTGCACGCGTCATTTTACTCTAATCGAATCATTTCGGAAGGCTCTACATGTGCAAAACATGATCAACAGGCAGCCGCTCGATTCCGACGATCTAAGCATGCAACTTATGTTCAAAGGTCGGCTGTGGACCTGCAGTGCCAACATAACGAATTAACTCGGGAAAAAAACGAAAAAGGCCGTAGCGGAATGCTGCTAACTAAATTTTCCAACGTCCATGTTTACGTGGCCTTCACCGCGCAATACCACACTGCGCAGGAATTATACGTAGGATGGCTATCACAGCTACACACGCCTAATTTTGCCTAATTTTATCTTCCGCGGGCGCTTGCAATGAAGCATGTGCACTGTAGCGCTGAAAGCACGCCTGCGTTTTCTTGGAGGATTGAATTCGCCCCTTCTAAATGCAACAATTGCAATATGTGTCGTTGACTCGTCGCTAACCCGTACCTTTGATCGCCCACAGCTGTTACCGACTAGGCAGCTAGCCCCTATGTAACATCCACATTAATTGCTTACCTGGCTACCACGTTTCGTCGGGTGCACGCCGTCAGCATTCAGCATCCCTATCAGCTCGCGTGTGTTGTCCACGAAACTGTAGCCGTTCTTGTGGCACAGCGCCTGCAAAATGGCATTCGTCTCCCCGGCATCCGTGTTGAACGCCTCCAATTCTCCGACAGACTGCGCCCACTGGCACATGCGCAAACTCGCTTGTCTCGGCAGAACTGCAGACACTACCACACGGATTGACATCAAGAATTCTGGAGATCAATGATCGGAACCTGGCAATCAGCACGAGGGGTTCTTCACCGACATTGTTAGTGCTAACGTGGAGAACGACCACGTGCACATCTGCCAGAGAATGAGCAATTAAAGAGAACAATTTCTCGATCCGCACACCGCTGAATGAGCGAACCTCACCATGTGTCCTGGAGCTCAATGTGAAAGACCCTGCGAGGTCCTTCAACATTGAGTCTCCGGCAACGAGTGCACGGGTCATGTTAGGGTTGGCTTTTCAGCAGCCGCACACGAACACTTCAAGCACACTTAAACGGAGAAATAAATGCGAACAAACTACAACGCAAAAAGTGCAACAGAATTGACAGGCACAACTGGAAGATCACATGCAATCTCCAACACGATACGGTAGCAGAATCCGCCGGCTGTCAACGGTTAGGATGGTCCACACAGTCAACCGCACAACTGACCACACCTGAGCAACGAGGGCACAGTGCTAGGCAGCAAGGTTCTGAAATGAGAGTTTTTGCCGGTATACTTTCTGCGCACGCGCCAAAGGCGGGTGCAAGGCAGTATGGGAAGGCGAAGCGCAAGCCGCTGCGGGGCTTCGGCCGCCAAAGTTTCGTCTGCTCGACTTGCACCCTTGCTTGCAGCGCGTGGGAGCGTGTTGCACTGTTGCAGCGCGTGCATGCGAACACGTTGTGCAAAACAAACGCGAGTTTGTGAGTACGTACGTATACGGATAGCTCCACCGACAATAGACAGGATGCAGTATATTTGGTTCCTAATGAGTGCTCTGAAACTACTTAAACAGGAATGGCTGTGCAGCTGGGCTGGGTCGTCTGGTGCTTCCTTGGTAATTTTTCATGCATGGCAAATTCTGATATCGATGCGTCGTCAAATTTTTAAAAAAGCAGCGTTGGGTGTCAGTGAAAATTTTAAGTAAGAGCTAGCCGGAGGACGTTTGAACCTTTATGTTTTCCTTGCGGCACACAGCCCTTGCAGGATTGAAACAGGCTATCAATACAGAGTTTCAGTGCGGCGGCTCCGAGCGGCTTGCGTACATGAGCCCTTGCGTTCTTTTGTATTCTCCACAGGTGCGGCGGTGAGTACAAAGAAACGCGATAGCGTGCGCGTGCTACAGGCAGCTAGGGATACCTGGCATTAAAACGTGTGTGCACGCACGCGCGCGCCCGTGTGGTTGCGGATGCTGCTATCAGGTTTATGTTTATATATATATATATATATATATATATATATATATATAAAGAAGTGAGTGTATACCTAAGGGCTCGTTTTTCCGTGTTTTTAACACAATAATAACGAGATCTAACAGACAGTAATGCCAAGGAATGTACAGGGGAAGCTATTAGTGCCAATGGAATGTAAATAAGAAGAAAGAAAAGTGGATGAAAAAATAACCAGCCGTGAGCAGGAATCGAACCTACGACCTTCGAATAACGCGTTTGATGCTCTAACCACTGAGCTACCACAGCGGCCTTGAAAGTTGCAGGTTCGATTCCTGCTCACGGCTGGTTATTTTTTCATCCACTTTTCTTTCTTCTTATTTACATTCTATTGGTTCTAATAACTTCCCCTGTACATACCTTGGCATTACTGTCTGTTAGATCTCATTATTATTGTGTTAAAAACATGGAAAAACGAGCCCTTAGGTATACACTTCTTTCCCTTATTTCAATAAACGAGGGTCTCGTACTGGCAGACTAGGTGTCATTAGGTTGTATACGAGGGACTATTAATCAGCTGCCCACTCATAATAAGTTCACGTGCTACGTGACGCCAAACATGCGCATAAGAGAGTGTTTTCACACTCGTCGCTTGGCTTATAGATGGCGCTGACTGTCGCTCCTATGAAGGTGGCTCCAGAAGTCTGGGTAGTGATCACAAACGTATCAAGCTAAGTTTTGGAAGAGCAGTGAAAGTGGGAAGGAGACCAGATGAGCAACTACAGGAAAATTTTTATTCAAAAAGGCAAATTGAAATAGCCACTAAACAAATTGAGAAAGTAATCACGGAGGATAATAAGACAGTGTGGACATACACGAATCTAATTAAGCCCTTTGAGCTAGAGCTTGCTAAGACGCGTAACAAGTCACCCCGGAAAAGAAGACACAAACCCAAAAGTTGGTGGAATGAGGAAGTTAAGAGAGCCATAGCAAAACGTCAGGAACCCTCTAGGGAACACAGACATGCTAAGCAGCGGGGTGAACCGACAGATGATGTTGAAAGAAAATGGAAAACCTTTCTAAGCTGTAGAAGGGCTGCATCCCTTCTGATCAATGAAAAGATTAGAAGAAAGGGAGCTCAGTGGCTGGCAGAAGTACATAAAAAAGATAGAAAGGCAGCTGCGAAATTTTGGAACCATCTAAACTCCCTAAGAAATGAGTCGAGCCTAGAGCACAGTTTTATAACTACAGCCCAAGGTGCCAGGCTAGAAGGGGACGAAGCTAATGAATATATAAGAACAAGGGTGACAGAAAAATTTCAACAAAGAAGTACTTTATGCACCACAATAGACAAGGACGAATCAAGTGGTGCAATGGCTCCATTTTCACAACGAGAATGGGAAAGGGCTGAGAAAAGGGTTCCTAGTAGCACATCAACAGGCCCAGATGGCATTCCAATTAGGCTGATAAAGACATTAGGTCCGAAGTCTAAGCAGGCTCTGAGAGAGGCAGTGAGCAAAATAATAATCGATGGTGAAGTTCCCGATGGATGGAAACTTAGCAGGATGAGCATGATCTATAAAGGAAAGGGGGACAAAGCTGACATAAACAACTACCGTCCCATAACAGTTACATCAGTGGTCTACAGGCTGGCGATGCAGATTATAAAGGAAAGACTGCAGGCATGGATAGAGGATGAGGGGGTGCTGGGAGAACTGAAGAATGGGCTTCGGAAACACAGGAGGCTGGAAGACAACCTGTTCTCACTGACGCAGTGCATAGAAATAGCAGAAAAAGAATACAGGCCCCTATGGCTAGTGTTTTTGGATATCAAGGGAGCGTACGATATCGTGCTTCAAGAGGAATTGTGGGGAATACTGGACGCACTAGGCGTGGAACATGTAGTCACTAATCTTTTAAAGGATATCTATAAAGGTAACAAAATAGTTATAAAGTGGGAAAAACAGGTATACAAGCCTGCAGAGGTAAAACGGGGGCTTAGGCAGGGGTGTCCCCTGTCACCCTTATTATTCATGATGTACCTACAAGGATTAGAGGCCCAATTAGAGAGAAGTGGACTGGGCTTCAACCTATCTTTAGTCAAACAAGGAAAACTCATTGATCAGGCACTACCAGCATTAATGTACGCAGATGATATAGTGCTAATGGCTAACAACAAGGAAGATTTGCAGAGATTGATGGACATCTGCGGTAATGAGGGAGATAGGTTAGGCTTCATATTCAGTAAGGAAAAATCAGCAGTCATGATTTTCAATGACAACGAAGGTAGTGAGCTTAGAATACAGGAGGTCACGCTTGAGATAACAGATAAGTACAAATATCTGGGCGTATGGATAAGCAATGGGACCGAGTACCTGAGGGAACACGAAATATACGTGACGACTAAAGGTAACAGGAATGCAGCAGTGATGAAAAATAGGGCACTGTGGAATTACAATAGGTATGATGTTGTGAGAGGAATATGGAAAGGGGTCATAGTTCCTGGGCTGACGTTCGGCAATGCGGTCTTGTGCATGAGATCAGAAGTTCAAGCAAGATTAGAAATTAAGCAACGTGGAATAGGTAGGCTTGCTTTAGGAGCTCACGGGAATACACCAAATCAGGGAGTACAAAGTGATATGGGATGGACATCGTTTGAGGGCAGGGAAGCTAGCAGCAAGATAAAATTTGAGAAGCGATTGAGAGAAATGGGGGAAGAGCGTTGGGCTAGGAAGGTTTTGAGCTACTTGTACATGAAGAATGTCGATACAAAATGGAGGAAGCGAACCAAGAAGTTGACTGGTAAATACTTAGAAAACAGCAGGTGGCCAAACCAAAAAGAACTATCGGTTAAGAAGAAAGTGAAGGAAACAAAGACTGACATGTGGAAAATGAGCATGATTAAGAAGTCTGCACTAGAGATCTATCGAACTTTTAAGCAGGAAATTGCCAAGGAAAGGATCTATGATAATACTCGGGGTAGTTCTCTACTGTTTGAGGCAAGGACGAGAGTACTGCGAACCAAGACATATCGGGCCAAATACGAAGGGGTAGACACAGTATGCAGTGCGTGTGGAGAGGAAGAGGAAACTGCCGAACACTTGATAATGTTCTGTAAAGGGCTTCACCCTATAGTTCAGGATGATGGCGCAGAGTTTTTCAAAGCACTGGGGTCTAGGGACCGGGAGGGCGAATTAGACTTTAAGCAAGTAGACTTAACTAGAAGGAGATTATCTGATTGGTGGCTAAAGCCAAGGCACGAGTGAAAATTAAACTCTTTACCGTAAAGTACGAATCCTCAAACTCACTTTTTAAGGAAAAAAAATAAATATAGTTTTGGGTTCATTAAGTATTACGGCTTGCTGGCGCTAGCCACCGCCCGATCTAAAGGGTACAGCCATATCCATTCATCCATCCATCCAACTTCGAAATTCACATATAAACCCAAAAAACTGGATGGAGGGAAGGCCGCTGTGGTAGCTCAGTGGTTAGAGCATCGAACACGTTATTGGAAAGTCGTAGGTACGATTCCTGCTCACGGCCGGTTATTTTTTCATCCACTTTTCTTTCTTCTTATTTACATTCCATTAGTTCTAATAACTTCCCCTGTACATTCATTGGCATTACTGTCTGTTAGATTTCATTATTATTGTGTTAAAAACACGGAAAAACGAGCCCTTAGGTATACACTTCTTTCCCTTATTTCATTAAATGAGGGTCTCGTTCTGGCAGACTGGGTGTCATTAGGTTGTATACGAGGGACTATTAATCAGCTTCCCGCTCATAATAAGTTCACGTGCTACGTGACGCCAAACATGTGCATAAAAGAGTGTTTTCACACTCGTCGCTTGGCTCGACGTGCGGTCGAGCGTTGCGGGTGGTGGAGAGGGTGAAGCGGGAGAGATGTGTGTTATGAGCGGGTGGAGGATCCGGCAACTGCTGCGTGTGAGACGTTAACGCGCAGCTGCGATTGACCTACTTGGCACTGCTCCAATACCTGCGGTGAGAGAAACGCGCCACGGACGTACGTACGGCGTTACACACGTGAGTCAGAGATGCTTCGCATCTAAACTCACGTCTAAACCTTACATCGGCAGCGCTGACCCGACGAATGCAAAGAATAAATGTCGCGGTCCTAGCAGGAATTGAACCCAAGAATTCTGCGCGGCAATCAAGCATATTCTACAACAAAGCCACGCCAGGTCTCGGATATACTTTTCAAATAGCTCAATACCTTAATATGGTCATGAAACCTTAATAGTTGTTGCAGTGGTGGCAATCCAGCTTTATAAACATTGCATATGTACTCCTATGATGCAGCCGTGACGTCGGGTTAACGTCAATTGTTGCCAGGTGCCATGCACTGAATTTGATTTATGCAGCAGTGTCCAGGGCTACCATCCTCACTACCACCAGCACTTCATACCAGCTTATTGCTTCTGGTGTTCCTAATGCTCAAGTTCATGTTTGCACCATTGCACAAGTGCAAACAACTGGTTATATAAACACTTGAAACTCTTTCATTTCATTTCATTTTATTACCATAAAGACCCCACTAGGGGGTGTTACATAAGGGGTAGATGTAGAGAAATTATACAAAAAAGGATATGCTAACCATGTATGTTAATTGCGAGACAGAAAATGTGTTACATTTTAACTCTTCAATGTATGCCTGCGCGTGGAACATTTGGACGTATATTTGGCGTGATTTCATGACGTGACGCTATAAAAAAATTACAACATGGTCACGCTAAGCATGCCTCCGCATGCTTCGCGTATCGTCGATTCCTAAGCTACGTGGAATCTGCTGAATTTTTCAGAAATATCCTTGGGCAATACGTACTTTCGGCACGAATCTTGACATAGGTATGTGTCATTTTTTACAAGAAAATGTAACTCTCAAGAATGGCGATTACCATATTTTGAATCGTATAGTCAGTGTACTTAACATTTCAAGCAGTACTCTCTATTATATTC